CCTCTGCTAAGCGACGCATCCTAATGTGTGGGCAGTTTCTGGCATTTGAATTTTCTTTTGACTTAAATTACTACAAGGGGTCAAGTTAGTGACCACAAAATGCTCAGAGGGAAGGGGAGGGAGGAATGGGCCCCCATCATAGTTAATTCCTTCCCAGAGAAGCTCCAGTAAAATCAACAGAAGCAGACAACTGTGCCTCTTCCTGCAATTTCGGTTAGAAGTCTACACCCCAGTCCTCGGGGCTGGCACACATCCCTCATCAGTGGGGTTCCAATTGCTTGGCTGGGGTTGAAGGTCAGATCAAGAGCCACAGAGAGGTGTCAAGGTGCCTCAGCATCCACCTCTGCGGTGGGGGGGAAGGTGCAAGCCGCACCTGGGCTTCTGTTTTCACTCTTGAGTCTCCTCACAGTGGCCAGGAGTTGAGGCCCTAGCCAAAAAAGCCAGCTGGTAAAGAAGCCAAAATGTCTTGTTTTTGTCTGGGGCTCTGAGGAGCAAGGCCTGGACCTGAGTGAGGCCTAAGGTTGGGAAGATGCAGGCGATGGTCATGAAAGATAGGCAACTCCACATTGGGCCACTACTGCAGTGAATGTCAGGGAGTCTGGGAATCCAGCCCCAAAAGCCCTTCACCTACTGCTGTGGTGACTGTACGTCTCCTGGTGGAGTCTACTCCTAGGTCTATCCCTCAACCCCACTATATCCAAAGTGGAGCTTGTATCATTGGATAGATACTGGAAGTTCTCGGTTTCCACAGGACACACACCCTCTTCTATGGAAAACTATTATTTTTAAAGGACAGGACTTCTTTAGAATGGGAAGTTTGGGAAAACATTATTTTCCTTGAATAAGACAATCCCTGAAACATCTGCTGATCCTGGAGCCTCACGGTTTCCCTCCTCCCTGCCCAGTTAATTGGAATTTCCTCCACTGAAAATGTAGCTGTAAGAAAAAGTTGCCCTCCATCAATTCTCTAAAATTGTGAGATTTGTTTTTCATTTCTATACTTGTTCCTCTTCAAAGAAAAAAAAAGAATGAAAGAAAGAAAAGAAGAAAGTATCACAGCCTAAAAAAAATGGTACTTGGTGGAAAAATAAATTTGGAGGGTTAAGAGGGCAACGGATGGCAGTCTCAGCCCTCCTTCCACCATGTGCCATGGGTCCTGAGTCTTCTATTATTCTGCCTGAAATTGTCTCGTTTACAGAAAATATTTGTTTGCACTATTAGTTGGTACTGGAGTTAATTACTCAATGTGTTAACGTGAAGTAATATGTATAAAAGTAGGATCAGTGTTTATTGTGTGGGTGAGCTGTTGAGCGGTGCTTGAATAAACTGCAATTAGGGTTAGATAGAGATTAATTAACATGTGAGTGGCAAGGTGTAAAATAGTTTCCAACCCTCCACTTCAATATAATCTGCAGGCGAGGAAAGAAGTTTGTAGAAGCTAATTAAATACTTTCATAAAAGCCAGTGTATTCACCCAACATTTGGAAAGACAGGCACATTAGAGGCAACTTGTTTTTACCCAAATGTTTTCTTTCTGTGGAAGGTAGCACTGCTTTGTGATGCGGAGAGAGAGAGAAAGAAAGAGAGAGGGAGAGGGAGAGGGAGAGGGAGAGAGAGAGAGAGTGATGGCTTATGCAGCCGCAAAAAGCACTGGGATGGCAAGGCAGGTTCACCAGAAGCCCTTGGAAGCCTTTCAGCCTGATGGAGCTTTCAAACCAGCAGATCTTTCAGCTGCTGCGGATCAACAATTACCCAATTTGGAGAAAGGGTTGGGGTGCGATGCTGGTGGCGAACGAGATTCACAGGAAAGTCGGGATAGAAATTCAGGTTTTGAGAGGCTGCAAGTATATTAATACACTTTCAATGTTGGGGTGAGTGGTTTGTTTCATATTTTGTGGGATGGGGGTGGGGAATCATCTGTGTTTTTGTGTCCACCTTAGTCTAGGGGTAGGGGGATGCTGGGTCTGAAATTCAAGTCTCTCTGAACACATCTTAAATTAAATGAACTGTATGGAAATGTTCTCCTCCAGTGCAGCAAGTTTCTCTCCAGTTTGAAAATCTGGGTGTTGCAGGGGAAAGGGGGGATGGGATTAATGTTAGGGGAACAGACTTCTGATTGCTAGATTTAGGGTTAGATTCAGAGTTTGGCAGGATGGGAACATTGAACTATTATTACCCCCCCCCCCATACAAGCCAGTCACTTTTTCTCAGAGATGTCTTTGTTCCTTCCCCAAGTACACTTTTCCTTCCCTACCTGTCATGTTCACATCCAGTCTGAAATGGCACATCACAGGAGCCCCAACCAGATGAATGGGTAGAAGGAGAGAGAAGTTCTATAAGGGAAAAGGGAATTGTCTGTCTGTAGTTAAAATCAGATTTTTTTTTTTTTTGCTTGTCTATCTGTTGATGGTTTTGTAGTGCTTAGGGGCTAGGTAGATAGATAGATAGACAGACAGACAGATACCCAGCCTTTCAAGACCTGTTCCTGAATAAAGAAGGAGAGGGTTTGCATTTTGCTCCATATGATGGTGTGTCTTTGGAGATGGAATTCACTATCAAACCCTCAACCCTGTTTGCTCATATTATACCCATCATAATCCTCTTAAACTGTGGTGGCGGCTACAAAGCTCGTGTTCTTGCAAAAGCTGACTGGCAAGATATAATTGTCCCGCGAACAAAACCAGCCAAAAGTTTTCCAAAACCCCTGGACTCCCCCTCCCCTCTTTCCTAAACCTAATTCTCTCGCTCTCTCCACTCTAGCTAGTCACCTCCCCCCACCCTCCCTCTCCATAAGAACTCTCAGCCTCGATCACTTTTGTTGTCGCCAAGAGCGCCCGGCCTGTTGAAAGTGCTGGAGCGTCTTTGAGCAGTTTGTTGTGATACGCAGGTGGAATGGTCTGCAAACAGATGAATTCAGCCCCTCCAAACCAAGCACCGAACGCACTGCTTTTGTGCGCCGGGCACAAAACGCTGAATTCCTTCGAACTTACTTGGGGCCTGTCTCGAAAAGGGCCTTTTCTTCCCTCTGCTTGTACCTCTGGCCACACTAAGTCTCTAGGCGCCCCCCTTCAGGCCCCCTCCCTCTCCCCTCTGATAATCCTTCTCTTTATTTTAGAAAAACACAAAACCCGGTTCCACGCGGTGCTTTAGTGGCTAAAAGTGAAAGAGCTGCCTTGGCAGAATTCAGCTCTATGAATCACTTCGGAAAATTGGTTCGACTGAATGGCCTTAGGAGGAAAAACGTTTTAATAGGATCCAGGGGAGGTTCTGCTGTTTCAATCTGCTCCTTAAACAGGTGGAGATTGGACCTTCTCAATTATACCAACAGTAAGTACCCAGCAGCGGGGAGAGGCGCTCTCCGAAGGCGCCCTGCGCCGCAGTCCTAAACCAGGCTCACAGCCCCGCTTTGCCTCGGAAACCCGATCATAAATCAGCAGTGCTGATCGATTAGGAACCCCAACAATCCTCCAGCTCCCCGGGGCGGACTCCTGCCGCCTCCGGCGGGGAGCTGGCCGGGGGGAAAGCTGGAGGCGCACCCGTCTGGGCGCCGAGGGGCCCCGGGATCTGGCCGCACGCGGCCTGGCTCTTCGGACGCTTCGAGGTCGTCCTTAGGCAGCGGGAGCTCTCTCTCTCTCTCTCTCTCTCTCTCTGTCTGTCTGTCTCGCTCTGTCTGTCCCTCTCTCCCTCTCTCTGTCTCTCTCTCCCCGACCTCCGACGCCAGCCCAGGCGAGCTCTCGTCGCTTTTGCATAAATTAATATTTCCCCATTAACAAGTCCCCCCCCACACACACACCTCCTAGCAAACGCGACGCCCGCATCCATGCGCCACATCCTAATGAGGTAATTATCATTTGCGCGTGTTCGGGGCTGGCGCCGGCTCCGTGGGTAAATGGCAGTTTATTAGCACGATGCCCAGCTCGGCTGCAGAGGGCTAAGGGATACTTTCGCTGCCTAGACGGACACCCAGGGGCCTTTTGTGGGCAGTGCATCCGGGGACCCCCCCCCCCCAGCCAGCGCGCGCCTTTCCCAAACCTGTAGGCCCCCAAAGTTGTGAATCACGCACGGAACTCTGCCTAGGTTTGAGTTGGGGCTCCCCCCCCCCCTTTCCACCGGCAAAACCATCACGATTCCTCCCCCTCCCCCTCGCGTCTCTTCCCTCCTTCCCGATTCGCAAACCGCTCGCACTTTCCCGAGGGGAGCGCGGGCGCCAGTTGCCTCCTTTTAAAGTTTGAGGGGCGGTGGCGGCGGCGGCGGCCGGCGGGCGCGCGGGGGAACACGGGGTCCGCGACGGGAAGCCGCGCCGCCGCCCATGTCATTCCACTTCAAGTGACTTCATGTGATGTCAGCTGAATGTAAAAGACAGTGATCTCACGCGGAGGGGAAGATGTTTGCCATCAAAATGTGACAGAAGAGACGCGCTGCAAGGCTCGGAACGCATCTCCTGGGCGCTGGGGGAGAGAGGTAACCGCGCAGTGGCTCTCCCCGGCCTCTTTTAACTTTCTCCCTCTACTGCCCTGCTCTCCGCGCGCGTGGCCGAGGCCCAGGTCTGGGGAGGGGGGGTGGAGTGGGAAATTTGAGGCTCTTTTCTTTATTTTCTCCTCTCTCTCCCTCGGTCTCTCTCGCGGGCTCCCTCCTCTCTCCGTGTGTGTCTCTCCTTTTCCTTTGTAAAACCTCCTCCCTCTTCCCCCTTTCCTAGTCCCAGGGCAGGGGCTGGTGGGTTCCTGTGCGAGCCGGGTTAATGGGCAGTCATTTGGTACCCTTGGGTGCACTTTGTTCTGCCTCTGTTCATTTGAATGCAAATGGGTGACCCAGGGCCCGACTAGGTGCTTATTAAATTGTGGTGTGTGGTTTTTTTTTTCTTTCCCCCCTCCCTGCCTTTTCCGGAATGCAGACTTAAGAGGAAAGAGAGAGAGAGAGAGAGAGAGAGAGAGAGAGAGAGAGAGAGAGAGAGAGAGAGAGAGCGCCCTGGCCCAGCTTGGCTCGGCTGGACTCCGCACACCATGGCCAGCTCAGCTTCCTTGGAGACCATGGTGGCCCAGCCCTGCCCTCGCGCCGGAGCATCACCGGCCACTTCCAAGACGCTGGCCTTCTCCATCGAGCGCATCATGGCCAAGACGTCGGAGCCCCGCGCGCCCTTTGAGCCCCGGCCTGGGGCGCTAGAGGCGGATGGCACCCAGAGTAAGAAACTGCTCAACCTCTGCTCGCCGCTGCCCTGTATGATCCCCCTCCAGCCCCTAGGCTACGAGGTGCCGTCCAAGACACTGCTGAGTTACTCGGAGCTCTGGAAAAGCAGCCTCCGAGCGGGTGGTGGTGGTGGCGGTGGTGGAGGAGGAGGAGGCGGCGGCGGCGGCGGCGGAGGGGGGGCCCCCGTGTGCGGAGCCAGCGGCTTGTGCAAAACCAACTGTGGCGTGTGCTGCAAGGCCGAGCTGGGCCTTGCGCCGTCTGCGCTGCCCGCCGGCCGGGTCATCAAGCCGCAGGTCATCAACCAGGCCGTGGGGCTGCCGGCCAGCGGCTCGCTCTACTACTTCAACTACCTGGACTCCACCGCTTATCCACCTTCAGAGCTCCTTGGTGGCCACCTTTTCCCGTCCGGCCTCCTCAACGCCCAGGCCCCCGCAGCTCTGGCTGCGCACCCCAAGCTCTTTCTGCTGGAGAACGCCAAACTGGCTGGCCTGGCTGCGGACAAGTTTCCCCACCCGGCTCCCTATCCCCACAAGGAGCGCTGCTTGCCCGCGCCCCTGGAGCAGGTGCTGAAGGAGAACTCGGCCTTGACCGCAGAGCGCGGGGGCATCAAGGGTCACAGCAAGCTCCCGGGGGGATCTGCGGACGGCAAGCCCAAAAACTTCACCTGCGAAGTGTGCGGCAAGGTGAGGCCCAGGGTCCCCAGGGCTGGGAGGGACCCCCCTTCCCCAGATGCTTCCCCCGGGGCAGACTTGAATCACACACACACACACACACCCCTGCCCACCCACCCCCTACCCCCTGCGCCGCTTTATCAGTCAGAGAAGCTCCAGGATAGCTGAGCACTCCAACTGGATAGCTAGTTAAGTTTCCTGTTCTGTAAAATGGGGGTGCTGTTGCCAAGTAGCCACACAGTCTCTTGTGAGCAGTAAGTTGTGAAGGACTTTACAAAGGCACTGTCGTTTCTAAAGGGGGTAGGGTTGGAGAAGGGAGACACTGTGGCTTCCTGGATTGCTTCTAGGTCTTCAACACAACCTCCCCCCCTTCCCCCTCTGATCCTTCCATAGGTGTTTAATGCTCATTATAACCTCACCCGCCATATGCCGGTCCACACCGGAGCCAGACCGTTCGTGTGCAAAGTCTGTGGCAAAGGCTTTCGCCAGGCCAGCACGCTCTGCAGACACAAAATTATTCACACCCAGGTATGTGTTTCCCCCCCCCCCCATCACCCTACCACCACTACCCGGTCAGGCCCGGCCCAGGCGCGGCCAGCTCCCGTACTGCAGCCCCGCGTGTGAGCGATGGCATTGGGGATGGGTAGGATGGCCCTTACCCTTCCGAGGGATGCCGTGTCCCTTCGAGGTTGTTCCCGAGGTGAAGGTCTCAGCCTTACTGTGCGCACCCGCCCCTCTTCGCAGGAAAAGCCTCATAAATGCAACCAGTGCGGCAAAGCGTTCAACCGCAGCTCCACGCTCAACACGCACATCCGTATCCACGCGGGCTACAAGCCCTTCGTCTGCGAATTTTGTGGCAAAGGCTTTCACCAAAAAGGTAACTGTACTAGGCGAGGCCCTCTCCTCAGTGAGTCGTGGCGTGGGGGACAGACCGAGTGGGGAGGGGGGTATGGAGAGAGGCCGCAGCCGCACAAAAGCTGCAGGCTAGAAGCAGCAGTTCTTTGGAATCGGGTTGGGGCGGGTGTGGAGGGAAGCGTCCAGGGGCTGGGTGAGGAGACCTTGCTGGAATCAGGCTGAATGTACAGATACCACTGAATTTGGGATGGGAGAAGGAAAGAAGGAAAGGAAGTAGGGGAAAGAGACAGCACCGCCTTCCAGATAAAGATTTCCCTGGCAGTTGGTACTCCCCTTTCGAATGAATTAAAAAAAAAAAAAAACAACTAGGTAAAATGTACTTCCAGGGAGCAATGTAAAACTCGGGGAAAATCAGTCTTGTTCCCAGGGTCCCCTGGGCCTGAAATTTCCAAAGCCCTTTTCAATCCCTAGGTGGTAATTAAGAGTAACTTTAAAAACGGGGAGAGAGAAAGAAAAAAAAAAAGAGGGATGAAACCTAGGTTCCTACAGATTTCCTCCAGCGAGGCATCAGCTAAGCAGAAGCATGAAATGCCTTCTGTGTGTTGCACCGAAGTTTCCCAGCCCGGGGAACGCGGCAGGAGGGAGCTTCTTGGGCCTGTGTACCGGGGCAGGGCGGCTGGGGCCGGCTCTGGCTCTGAAAAGACCCGGCCCTCCATCCTTTTCCTAGTGCCGGGGTCTTGACGAATACAAAGTTTGACAACTTCTTCACTCAGAGAGGTCGTGGCCGCCTAGCCAAGCGTCGCCTGCCTTCTTAACACGGGCACCTGAGCCCTCCCCCCTCCCCCCTGCCCGGGATCTCAGGCTGCACACCCTAACTCCACACCCTACTTTGTTGTGTTGTTGTTGTTTTATATGTCTTTTGGTCTCCTGTAGGGAACTACAAGAACCACAAGCTGACCCACAGCGGCGAGAAGCAGTACAAATGTACTATCTGCAACAAGGCCTTCCACCAGGTCTACAATCTTACCTTCCACATGCACACGCACAATGACAAGAAGCCTTTTACGTGTGCCACTTGCGGCAAAGGGTTTTGCAGAAACTTTGACTTAAAGAAACACGTGCGCAAACTCCATGACAGCGTGGGACCCGCCACCCCTTCCGCAAAGGAACTGACTAGGACGGTGCAGAGCTGAGAGCTTCCGCCTGGCCCTCCCTTCCTGCCCTGTACCAACCCAACACAGATCACACGTATAAACTTATTTCTAAAGTTAAAAGGAAAAAAAAAGAACTATAGCAGAGAGGCTTTAAAAAATCTATTTATCGAAACCAGCATATTTTTTGGAAAGTTAAACGTTTCCTGGATGACTGGCAACAAATTCATGGCTCCCACCTTTGTATATTCAGGAAACTTATTTAAAATCCAGTGCACCGAAACATATTTAATCCCAGGCCTCGGCTTCTCCTCCGGCAGCCGGTGTTTAACCCCAGCTTGTCATCGTGAGCGCCCCCAGAAGAACGTGGCGGGGCTCCCTCCCCAGCCATCTTTAGACAGCCATGTAATTCCTCCTGTACAAGCGAACACGGGAATACATACACACATGTGACTCAATAAAAAGAATCATTAGTGCGCGTTTTCTTTCCCCCCACCCCTCCCCTCGCCTCGAGGTCAGCTCAATAACTCCAAAGATCGAGATGGAAATAGGCGTTGATAGCATTTCCCCTTCCAAATGTGACTTCCTCCAGGGCTCTGGGGCCAGGACACATCCTTCTGCTCCAGAAGCGCTGGAGGCTTAAGGAACCCAGGGGCAGGGCAAAGGGCCTCGACGGGCCCCCTACGGGTGTCAATTTTTCTTTTTAATCTAATGATTGTAAAGACGCTCGGAATTCTGGGTGTTTATTTGAGTGAAGAAAATGTTTCCCTCCTTCCCTCCCTCCCTCCTTCCCTCCTTTCCTTCCTTCCTTCCTTCCTTCCTTTCTCCTCTTTCTCCCTTCCCTTCCTTCCTTCCTCTTTCTTTCTCCTTCCTTCCTTCCTTCCTTTCTTTCTCTTTCTTTCTTTCTTTCTTTCTTTCTTTCTTTCTTTCTTTCTTTCTTTCTTTCTTTCTTTCTTTCTTTCTTTCTTTCTTTCTTTCTTTCTTTCTTTCTGTTAGAAGTGGCTGGATGTTGAAGAAGAGCTTTTGCCTTAGCGGCGCGCAGTGCAAAGGGAAAGGCCCAAGCCTTGCTTTGCCTGCCAGCTTCTGGGCACCTCCTTTCTCCGAGCGATGTAGAGGAGGACAGCCCAGGGCTCCCAACCTCCCCTGGCGGCGAGATCTGGAGGCTAAGTCACGGGTCCCCTGCCTGGCTGGGAGCTCCCCGACTCCCCCGCGGGCGCTCCCGCTCCGGGGCTGGCGTCCGGGTGCGGTGCGCCCTGCCGCGGGAGGGCGCGCCCGGACTCCCGGAGCTCGCGCGGCCGCCGCCGCCGCCGCCGCCTCCCGGGTTCTGATTACCGCGCAGTTAGCCCATTTCCTGAATAGCTATCTCCGCCGCCGAGCACGCTGATGAAATGATCTCACGCTTGCTTTCTAAGTAATGACCCAAATTAAGAGAGAAAACAGAGACCCTTCAAACAGCATTACATTAATCATCTAATCATCCCCAGGAGGGGGCCGGCCGCCGCCGCCCCGTTTGATCCGAATCTTGATAATCAAGAGCTCGGATTACTGGCGCGTCGCGCCGGGCCTCTTCCCCCCCCCTCCACACACACACACACACACACACACACACTTATTCACACACACACACGTACACACTTTTAATATCCGCGCCGCCATGCAGCCCACGTCTTTTGAAATCATGTTCCCCAGCGCGGGGAGCAAATGCGCTTCGTGCGCTTCGACGCAGCTTCCAGGATGAGGTGGGGAGGGGGCGAGGAGCAGGGCATTGACCCCACGCGGGTTTCCAGTGCGAGTGGCAGCGATGTGGAGGAAAGACGGTTAATGCAAAGGGCAACCTCCCCCCCCCCCCCCCCGCAAGTCCCTCGGAAAGTAACGTGAGCGCGGGCCAGCGCCCCGCTGGGGTATGCAGTAGGCGCTCAGGGCTGAGAGCCGTCCCCGAGGACAGGCTCGCTCTGCTCAACCTGGACAACCCGCACGCTTCCCACGCTGAATTCCTGGTTGGCGAGGAAGAAGCAGAGCCGAGAAGCCATCGAAATGACCTACCCAGGATCACCGGTCTGGGAGGAACAGAAATTCGAACTCCTGGCTTCCAGGAGCCCCCCCCCCCCCCCGCAACTGCTTCCAGTTCTAATCGGGATTGGAGGAATCTCGAGATTGGGGCTCAGATGGAGGATGGGCTGGGGGTGGGGGCTGGGGGTGGGGGAGACGGGGTGGAAGACGCGTCCTGGCCACAGCCTCCGGTTCTGTCCCCAGCCTCCTCCCAGTTCGAAGACCCATTGCACGGGCAAGAGGAGGATTGTCGATTTTGTTTGCACAGAGGACAGTGACAGCTTCCTCAGGCTGTCGCGGGGGTATTTTTAGCACCTCCGATTCAGAAATAGGAACGCGTACATTAGAATTCCATTTCCTGAAAGGAGAGCGTCCTCGTTTTTTTTTTTTTTTTTTGTATTTCTCTCCTCCTCCCTTCCCCCCCCCCCCCAGTCTGGGAAGACACAGCCAGGGGAGGGGATGGGGGGGGGGGAACGAGGAAGCTAGGGGAATTTAAATGCTATGTCGTTCTGGCTGCAGTTCTCTGAGGGGAGATTGAAATCGTAAGACTATAAAATTTTAACTCCAAAATCTCTATGCGTGTTCTAAACCCTAGGAAACCCCAGGACCGGCAAGGAGAACTTACTTGGCATGGGGTGCCTGGGTTTCTGCAGTCACCTATACCCAGGGTGAGATTGCCTAATCTTTGAGGAGTCCTGCCTGTTCTCTTAGTGTGTGGGGGTGTGTCTTGTCCTACCCTGAAATTCCCATAAACCCCTCAGGTAGGAGGCTTGTGTGCTCTATGATGATTCTCTCAACTAAGTCCCTTCCTTTCCACAGAAGGTCTTTTCTAGAGAAGGTCTTATCTAGAGAAGGGCCTTTTCAGATATACCTCTCGGAGATAGCCCCATGGCAAGTGCACCTTTTAAAATAGTTCTAGAATTTCCCGCACAGACCAGTTACAGGGATATTTTGTGCAAAGACATCCTTTAAAGACATGGGCAGAGGCAAGTTGACTTCCAGGTAGAAATGATAATCATGCTCTTTTCTTAAAGAAGAAACTAAGTAAAAAGGAATATGCCATCCAAGGGAGATAACTTTTTCTTAGCTATCAAGTCAAACTTTCTTTGAGAAAGTCTTCTGGAAGAAATGTGCCCAGGAGACTAGAAGGGTTTCTTGTCTCGTTAAACGGAAGAAACTTGTTTCCAGTTTGACAGTTCTGAAGAGGAGTGGGGATTGTGGTGTTGCAAACTAGGCAGGAAATTTCTCTCTTGGATTGCTCAACTCTGGCTCAGGAGTAGGGATACCTGTGCAGTTTCTTGTACACTCTAACCTCCTTGAGATTGTTTCCTCTTAACTTGATTGTTACTTAACCTTCACACCAGCCTCTGTCAATCGCTCTCACCTGAGAAGGTGTTATTTCACATCTGATGGTAATTGTAGATAAACAGTTCTTTGGCATCTATAAAACTCAGCTTGGCTTTCTATGGATTTGAAGTCAGCTGTGTGTGGGGAGGGGGGGCGGTTTAAAATGTTTGTTTCCTTTCCTTGTGGGGTTCAGGAATGGATTCCTTCAGTTCAGAAGTAGTGAAAGGAGGAGGGGGGAATTCTGCCTGAATTTCTAAACACCTTCCACAGCCAGCCAGCACGTGTTCTGAAGCCAATGCTAAGCTAAGCTCCTTGCATAGCCATCTTAGCTGAGATCCTTTTTAGTTATTCACCATGCATAGGAATTGATGGGTGAAAGGCTCTGTTTTCTGATTTTTTTCCCTTCCTTAATATTACACTGTTTGTGTGACTTGTAACTTACAATATTAATAAATGACTTAAACAAGGTAGTCATCAGCTGCATATTAATATTTTAACCTTGATTAAATGGAAGAGGCCACCCTGAAAAAATATTTTAAAAATGAAATTGCGGGGGAGGGGAATCCTGTCACAGACACAAAAAAGACTCCAATTATCTTTTCCCCTACAAGATGTTTGTTCTGTCCACGACTGCTCACACTTCGGCAATCTTGCCAGCAAGACTCAAAAAAAAAAAAAAAAAGCCTTCTTCCAAAGCCACAGCCTTGTACATAACAGATTGTACAGTCCTATTGCCTTAGGCGGGTTAGAGGTTTCTCCCTGCAAAGAGCGGCACAGAGAAGTTGCCAGCATCCAGACACATTTTGGGGGATACAATGTTCACTCTTGCTTTGGTTGCTGTAAATGGGTCTACGGGAGCCCCCATTTTGCTGTATGGCTCCCAAGAAGGTAAAGAGGCTGCCTGAACCAAGTCCAAGAATTAAAGGAGCAAAGTGTCCAGGTGTGCCAGGTGGTGGACTGGACCTGGGGTGGGGGGTAGGGGAGGAAAAGGGGCAAGGAGCAGGAGGGTGTGTGGGGGGGCTGCCAAAGGGAGGACTCCCGTCTTGAGAAAAATGCTGGGAAATAAACAACCTCAAGGCAGCTGCGTTGCCCTTTTCCCTGCACTTCCCTCTCAAACGTCTGAGCAACCAGTTTGCTCCCAGAAACATGTTAATTGCCAACGGAGCTCATTAAGGCATGCACATGCAAAACACAGCAAGAAAGATTAAATGGACAAAAGCGCAATAATGAACTGTCAACAATCGGGCCCATCTACGCGACCAGGATCACTCAAGAATGAGGCATTTAGAGGCAACAAAGGATTGTCTGGGACAGGAAGAAAAGACGACCTAGACTTTTGTTTAGTCAACACAATTGATTACAAATGAGAGATTAACAGGATAGCTTCAGATTTTTTTTAAAAAGAGGCAGAAAAGAAAAGTCCAATTAAGTCCACCGAATGTTAACTACATTGCGTTCCATGCCTAGCCCCAAAGAAATTCTCATTAAACCATCCCTGGCGATCCCTTTTGGAAAGTAATTTGTCTCCCTGATGGAGCAGAGAAAGAGAATCGTGTAAAAGAAAGCGTTAGTTCTTGGCACAATGAGCTTAGGAGACACACTAGAAAGAGCCAAAGGGGGAGTTAATGAGCATCTGACAAACTGCTTGGATTCAGGCCTAGAGAACAGCGATGAAAAGATGAAATTGGCCAACAACTATTCTTTATATCAAACATAAAAAGGCCAATCTGAAATGGGGCTGCTCAAAACTGGTTGAAAGTACATAGCTCAAGAAAAGGGAGCGATGGCCAGGTCCCTTGGTGGACAGTGGATAGACAGTGTGAAGAACTCAGCAGGCCGAGAGTTACAAAATGAGCTGAAAAGCAGGCTTTCCAGCATGAAGCAAACTCCAGCCAAGGGCCCCAGGGCTTCGCAGGTGCGGACTGGAACCTCTTC